ATGAAAATTGGCCGTCAGCATGTAATTGCAGCAGTTTGCCTCCGGAGGGCCTTTTGGACAAAGTGAGTAGTCCCGACTCAGCAAGCCGATGGCTGTTGATCAATGGAGATGCTCATTGTTGCTCTCATAACTGTCTGCAGACAGCTGTCTTCAATAAAGAAACCCGCAAAGTGACACTGGTCCATTATTTACTGTGCAACATGCGTGATGTGACGCCATGCAGCTCACCGGAAATCGCCTGCACCATGAAGAGTGACTTGGTGAGCTGAACCAGGAGACTGCTAATGTTAATTCAATATTTGGACGCGTTGCCGTCACGGTCAGAATGAGTTTGTTGACGTCCTCCACTGCCATCGCTAAAAGGCAGACAGACAATCGGGGAGACGACAAGCTCAATTCGTGACACTTCCAGCAGCTGCTGCTGTTTGGGGAACACCAATGCCGCTTTGCATTGGTATTCCATTATTGCAATAATCACGTGTCACTGATTATTGCCTGTTAGTAAGTTACTATTTTTGAAATTATGATATTGATTATTAAATCCATTGAAGACCTGTAATATTTTGACTGCATTTACTTGATGGAAAGTGGCAGCTGATGTATAAACTACCGGCTCCAGGATTACATTGATAAGATCATCGTGACCATCATGGAGTCCAACCCCTCCATCCTGGAGGTCAAATAGACTGCAGGCGCCGCCGCCGCCTCCACAGGCTGTGAACTTATTTATAAGCAACACCTGGCACCAGGAAAACCAGGGAGAGGATGTAAAAATTAATTTATTGGACCTTCTTAAACACGAATCCAGACTGGTTTAGAAAAGAACAACGATGAATTTCTACAAAGTCCAAGGCTGTCAGTAAAAAATAAGCTTGTTTATATTTAAAAAACGTGTTAGAATGTGGTAGAAAATTATCTTTACGTTCATCTCTTCTGGTTAATATTAAAATGCGTTTGAAACATTTAGATGTGACAAAAACGCAAAAGTAGAAGAAATCTATAACGTGGGCAAGTACTTTTTAATGGCATCGTATAATTTAATGATCTAATCCTCGTCCTCCTTGTTTATCGGAGTTGGAAATTATTCACAGTCATCCAATTCTCGCACGTTGCTTTGACGTGCGTAACCAACGGAGCCCAATGATCCAAGTGACAGGACGTTCGTCCGAGGGAAGATCAACGGCAAAGATGTGGCGGCCATACTTTTCTTTTGAAACAAACGTGACGCCGGCGAGCGCAAACATCGACAACCAGACGACTCGGCATCATCCAAGTCTATTCGCTGTCGCCAGCCTGTGTTCAGAAGGAGATGTGCTCAGTAACATCTGGATCGGCCTCAGGCGCGAGTCACGGAGGTTCGTGGTCAGCGCGCGAGTCGAGCCTCTCCCATTTCTTGAAGCTCTTCAGCTGCAGTCACAGAAGACGCCGTGTTTATGACGAGCGTGTCCGAGGCAGCAGCAGCCGACGGATCTGTGGGATTTTCAACTCTTTCCTGTTTGTGCTTACGCCTCGTCAGCGGAGAGAAGACTCTGGTCCCAGCCTGATACTTCATTAATATCGATCTACGTACAGAAGGAGTTTGAAAAGTGAGCAGCTTTGAAGTGCAGTAAAATAACTGATAGTCTTCACTAACAAGCTCAGTGTGTTCAACCTTAACCTGTCAGTTTGGAAGAAGCCTTTCCTCAGAAGACAAGAGAGATAATGCAATCTGTAGATGTTAGGAAATGATTCAAACTAATTATGAATTATGAATTGAGCTTCCTGGCTGCTTCAGAGCCGGGAAACAGCACATTTCCCTGGAAATGTGCTTGAATTGAAATGACTTATACATTTTTGCATATGTGTCCTGAAGTCTGATGAAACTAAAACTAAAGGTTCTGAAACGATTGTCGTTGTATTTGAAACCGTGAACTTGGCTGCACAACACCATCCTAACTGTGAAGCACGGCGGTGGGAACATCATTCTGTGGGAGCTTTACTGGAGGAGGGACTGGTGCACATTAAGAGGAAACAAACATAATGTTGAAATATTAAAGCTACATTTTAAGACATTATGTTTTTAAAGCTTACGCAGTGAACAGTTTCTGTCTAGATGAGGTTCTGCATTTAACAAGGAAAAAAAAAACAAGCAGAAATTAGCGACAGTATTCATCCGCAGACGTCGGCTACACGCTGCATTTATGAAGCCATCGGCATCAACATGCGACATCAGTATGGTCTGCAGCTGGACCAGGTTTCTGGAGATAATATTTAGAACCTTTGGCACACACTTTGCACTCCTCTTCGGGCTCGAAACGTTCACAGGGAAGCCGAATGAAAGGAAACTCTCAGATGTCGGACTTTATCTTATGTCACATCCTGTGTAAATCTGTTGCAAAGTATGCGCTGGATACACAGGATGGGGGAATAAGCCGCTTCATAAACAACCGCGTTCACACACACACACACACACACACACACACACACCGCCGCTCACACTGGGAGGGCGCTTAAAAACAGCACTAATAGGAAAAAGATGAGAGGGATCGCAGCGAGCGCTCCAGGAGAGGAGGAAGAGGAGGAAGAGGAGGAAGGAGAGCGATGTCGGCTCACACCAACAGCTCCGGGATCCGATAAACAATTTCCCAAAAGCTGCCCATCATCAATGCTGGGTTTCATTTTTCTCCTCTTCCATGTGTGTGATTATTGAAAAAAAAAAATACTTTTGACTAAATTTACAAAAGTGATCACTCCTCAGTTTTTTTTTTTTAAGACTTGTTTTAATGGACTCTTTTGCCGTAAATGTAAACCAGGATGTTTAAGTGGAGGAGAAAAGGACACATGGTTTTATAAATGGCTTGCAGAGAATCTGAAAAGGGTGACTTGTATTTGTGTTCAGCCACTTGGAGACCATATATATAAATTCATTTATTTTTTATCTGCAGCAAATTGTTCTCGTTATCAGCGACGTCCGTACAGAACTGGGTGCAGGCATGTGGCCAGATATCTGGGAAAACATAAAAACTTTATTGTCGCTAAAAACGATTCCAACCCCAGTGGAGGCTGGAGAAAACTCTGGATTCGGGTTTGCGTGTGCAGATGGGGAAAATTGAGATTCATGAGCATTACAGTCTGTGACAAAAAAAAAAAGAAGCAACTATCTATCTGAGCATCGTCTTGTTTTGTGTTAACTTTATGTTCTAACTTTTAGAAGTAGTTCAACCTGTAAATCCACCGACACAGATAAACCTCCTGATTTTGCTTTTATCTAAAGTTTAAACTTTATATATTTTTTTTTTATTCAAACCTCCAAAGTAGCACTTAATCATTTTCAGCCCAAGCTGGTTTAGAGCTGTTGCTTTTTTTAAAAATTTAAGTTATTAAATAGGCAAATTTCAGCAGCTTTTCTGTGTATTAAAGAAGAAACATTGTTCAGTCATTTTTTCTTGTCATTAAGTGATAAACTATATGCTTTTTTTCATAACGATGTTACATTAATCTAATTCACACCTCTCTTTGTAAAAGTATTTTTCTTTCCCCTAAAACCAAATCTCAGCTCCAAAATGTTGCTTCTCTAACAAGAATGACATCTTACTAAACGGACTATTTCAGACTGTAAAGTGTGTGCTGGATTTTATCTCAGGGCGTCAAAGTAGAGAGGGGTGAGCGCAGACACACACTCACTTAATTTAAAGGCAGTACTTTAAATTTATCTGCTGCTGCTCATATTTTCAGTGCATTTTTTTTTTGTGTGTGGCTTATTTAAAAATCTCTTAGTTTTTCGTTGCTTCTCAGCTTTTCAGTCAAGCACAAGGAGAAAGATCAGAAAAGCTTCCAGCCGCTTTTCAGTGAAACAGGAACATTTCTGTGGAAACCGGCTGGCGCGCCTCAGGGGGAAAAAAGAAAAAGCGCGTCGTCATGTTTGTCTTTTCTACGCGATGATATTACTGTCTACGCGATGATAAAACGGGACTAGAAAAAATAAATACCGCTGGTCTCCGCCGTCTCCCGCCGGACGAGCAGCAAACAGCCAGCAGAAAGCGGGAACCGGCGGCGCGAGAGACAGGAAGGAGAAGAAGAGGAGGAAGTTGTATGGTGTGAGTTAATGATCGCTCCCCTCCAGTGTTTGTGCAGATTTCGCCTCCGATTATGCACACAAACGCAAATTGAGTGGCGGAGCTTCGTCCCTGGTGGCTTCCTGCGTCCCAGAGGTGCCGCTGGCAGCCGGCCTCCATTTCTGCTACTTTCCCCTTTAAAAACAAAAACCTCCAATGATCCCGTCTCTCTCTCTCTCTCTCTCTCTATCTTCCTGATGTGCATCTACTAAGGCTGAATAATATTTGGACAGGTGCTCTCTCATATACATTCGCTTCAAGAGGTTCTGGTTCGGTTCGCCTGCGAGGCCAAACAAAAGCAGTGGATCCTGACGGGTATGGACTCTGCTGCACGTGTAATCCCCAACAATAAAAAACTGTTTAGCACCAATTTTCCTTCACTTTTAAGACGTTCTCGTTTCTCCCTCCCGCCACCCAGCCCCGCTGCAGACAAGAGGAGGCCACATCTGGAAGACAGATGTATTCCCATTCACTCACTCACTCTCTCTTTCTCCCCTCTCGCCCCTCCCTCTGCTCTCTTTTCTGGCAACAGGGGGAGAGTGGGGGGGGAGAGGGGGGGGACACGAGAGCTGAGCTAATTCTCTCCCTCCCGCCCGGACCGGACCACCCACATTCGGAAACGCCTAGCTGTTCTTGAGGCGGAGGCCGCCCGGCAGCTCGCAGAGGCCCGGGGCGGACAAGAGAGATGTAAAGGACGGCTTGTGACGGAGGGTTTTTAGCAGAGTATCAATTACGTCAGTGTCGAGGCTGTAAGTCATCGCGGTGGAAGAGGGAGAGAGTCTGGGAGGCAGCAGGGATACTTTTAGCTCGGCGCTGCTCGGCTGCGTCTGTCCACATGTGACGGGTTTTGTTCTTGAAAAGTGCAACCTGAAAGAAAGGAATCAAAAGGTAACCACAGAGTCACAGTCAAGAGTTGTTAAAACAGCAGCCTTTTATTTGCTTGGTGGTGGTAAACAATCATGGTGAGCTCACGCGGAAAGGTCAACGCCGCCATCTTGTGGATAGTTCTCAGAAAATTCAGAAATTTGGAGAATCATCTAAAAACTTTCCTAAAAAAAAAAAACCAAAAAAAACTTGGAACATTTCTGAGCTCCAAATGTCAAACATTTTCAACTCGTCGACTTTGGAGCTCAGAGACGTCAATGTTTCTAGAAAATTTCTGAGAGCAATTTAAAACATTTTTTTGCTGAAGATTTGCTGCTTTTCCCCTCAATCTGGAACGGCGCCAACATTACGAAGCATTCCTTTACCCCCCCATTCTTCAGCCACTGCCTAACCATCGCAGAGTGATGTACGATTGCAACTTTCTCGCTATAATTAGCGAGAAAGAGGAAAAATAATGGTGTCTGCCGGAGCTCGAGTGGAGCGGTTTTCTTGAGTTAGACCGGTCTAGTTAAAGTTCAACGTGGGGGAGCTTAACACAAAAGCATGCAAAACATTTCCTGTATTCTTTCCACTTTTGAGTATCAAAACCTACTCAAAGTTGAGGCAATGATGTCAGAATAATAATAATAATAACAAAGGGGTGTGAATACTTTTCTCAAGTAAACAAATAGTAAACAAAGCAGTTTAAGGCACAACAGCAGTTGAGGAAAATTTGTGACATTTGGGGAAATTATAGCCAAAAATAACTTCAAGTATGCGATCGTTTTGTCCAGCCAAGTTTCACTGTGTGGACTTATTATTCTTAAATTAACGGCAAAACAGCAAATATTATCCAATCTGAGCTCAGCTGCAAATATGAACTGACATCACTAATAAACGCAGAAACGAACGGCTGCACGCTTCGAAAACACGTCTCAGCAGCTGGGAACGTGCCAGGAGAAGACATTCCAGATATCTTCTGTTTAAATGTGACTCATGATAGTCAGTATTTACAGAAATAAATTTAGGACGCGTATGTAGAAGGGTTTTGGCTCATAGTGAGAAAAACCCTATGGGAAATGTAGCTCTGTCGATGAAAATGAGAATTTTTTTCAAGGTTTAATACGGAGTAATACAATACTGACGTTATTTCAAACAATAAACTTCAGTAGGTTTTGTTTCTTTGGTAGGTTAACAGTGATTGGGGTTAAAACATACTAAAATATTTCTTAAATACGAACCAATATCACATTGGTGTTAGCAGCCGAGTCATAAATAACCCAGAGCGATGACGCTGGCTTCACCTATTTGCTGAGGATATCGATGCCTCATAGAAAACATCCACAACTTTTCCACATCGTCACGTCGCGAAAAAGCTCCACGAGAAGTCGGGAAACTGCGATCAATTAAGGGAATTCCGGGATGAACCAGGAATACTTTCTACTGATTGGTCATCAAGCTGGAAAATTGGCTGTTCTAGTGAGTCTCCAGATTTAGAGACTTTTTAGGATTTGCAGCTTCACTCTTTAACACAGTTGGATTCCCAGTCCCAAGGTCCTGATTAATAAAGGCCACCAAACCCAAACCATGACACCTCCAACCATCATCTGATGCAAAACTAGATTTTAGATCATATTTATGCAGAAAACCCTTTTCAAGCGTCACTGTGAAGCCGAGACTTTTAACACGTGTTGCCCAGTAAGCGCATAGTTGAGAAACACAGAGCAACAAATAACTGAACTGCAGAAACTCTCAATCTGACCAAGAACTTTTGGTTTAGTTTCTCTTCCAAATATCTTAATACGCTTGAAATAAGACAAGACTAAATCACAAGTACATTTTCTGTGTTTTAAGCCAATAGTTTTTGAATGTTGTTGAAAAGTCCTGGTTCCACTGGCAGATTATTTCACTAATAGGACAATTTTTCCATGTTATAAGTGACATAAAGTGCGAGTGAAACTTTTTATCACCATTAAGAAATGATTGACTTAAAACAAGCTTTTATATCTTGATACAAAGTTACTTGTAAGTTGGTTTTGTTTTGTTTCAAGTGAAATTTTGTGTTTTTGCAGCTCCGCTATTTGTTGCTCTGTTAGCAGTGAATTTGCATATTTCTTTTAATATTGCCCCTCATTTGGTTTTTTCCGTTTTCCGCCGGCTCACTTCGGTGGCCACAGACCCCACCGTGGCCCCCACAGTGCCGCCCATGGACCCCCCAACGAACAGGCCCACCAGGGAGCCGAACAGAGCCTCCACTCTCACCAGACTGGGCAGCCACCTGAGCCAGACCACCAGCTTCTCCCACAAGCCCCGGAGAAACGAAGGCGGGGCGGCGGAGGGCGAGACGCTCTTCTCATGAGAGGGGAAAATGTCATCCAGATTCAAAGCGAAATCGCCAGTGCTCCTCTCCGCCTCTTCTCTGACCGCTTCCATTTCTTCCTCCTTCACTTCCCGCTGCGGGTCAGAAGCCGAAGAGTCGGGGCTCCGCTGCCGGACGATCTCCATCTGCCGCTGCCTCACGCGCTCCTTGGCCTCCCGGTACAGAGGGCAGCTCAGGTGTTTGCCTCCGCTCTCCTTCACCGCCTGCTCCACCTTCTCCAGCAGCTCCTCCACGGCCCGGCCCTCCTCCTCCGCCGCCGCTGCGCCGCCGCTCTCCAGCGTGTGGTAGCGGTCGCTGCACCTCTCCACCAGCTGCCGGAGGTCTTTGCGCCACGTGACGACGTACTGCTCCAGGGTCTCGTCCTCTCCCAGCTCCTCCGTGTGCGTGAACAGGACGACGGTGTGTCCGCTGACGGCGGCGGGGCCGAAGAGCTTCGCCAGGGCGTCCAGCGCCAGCGACTCGTCGCCAGCGGGCTCGTTCACCGGGACGCAGAGCAGGAAGGCGTGGGGCCCGGGGCTGGATGAGGCGATGAGGGAGGAAATGAGGGTCCTGCGATTGTCTGGGCTGCAGGCGGAGCCGTACCAGGCTGGACTGGAGACCACAACGACCTGCAGGGAGGCAGAGAGAGACGGTGGTTCTGGAGCCAAACACCAGGCAGTTATAGTTAAAAACGTTACAGTACAGAGGTCTAGAAAAAGTGAAAGTGAAAAAAGCTGACTATGCCAAAAATATCGATACCAAGACTGTATCAGTATCGGATAGATCAATGCATAAAATTTTATGTTATTTCTGTAAGAGTCTCTCAACTCTCCAATAAATAAAAATTTGCTTTCATTTGGCCTCAAAATTTATTTTTGCACTTTATTTAGAAAACAATGCACACACATCTTTCTCTATTGTGTCTGTTTATAAAGCAAATACGTCAGTAAAGTATTTTGTAAATATGCTAATTCACTGCTATCAGATTTAAATTGTGTTCTATGTTTAACAAAATTATTCACGTAAAACAAAGAAGACAAAAACGAGGTCAAACGTTTTATAATACATCATAAATAATTAGTACTGATATTGGCGATAACAGCCACGTTGGTATCGGTATGCGCGTTACTGGCCCAGTATCGGATCAGTGCAGCACTGCACTGAAAATATCAGTGCGCCTATAAATCTTTAAAATATGAAATGCTCTGTTGCTCCCAGTGACATGACCAGATGTGTCTCCAGTCGGTCCCACCTGCCTGCCAGCAGCTTCTCCTCGGTGTTTGGTACATTCCTGAGCTCCGGCGTCCCGCTGGCTCTCGTCCAGGCCCAGGATGGAGCAGACTGCGGTTCTGTTCCCCGGCTTGACCGGGCCCAGAACCACCAGCCTGAGCTCTGCAAAAGAAATGGCACACACCCATGTTTTGTTTTGTTTTTATTTTTTTATGACAATGCTGTTTGTGAGGCTATTATCAGGTTTCTATTGACTCACATCAGACAATAACACAAGACAATGTGTTGCTTATCTTTGTTCTCGGTGGGTTTCTATGGAGTGTGTGTGTGTGTGTGTGTGTGTGTGTGTGTGTGTGTGTGTGTGTGTGTGTGTGTGTGTGTGTCATCTACTCGTCTGCTCAGAATCACGCTGAATTTTCCTAGAAGTGGCAGCGCCCTTCAGGCAGGCTGCCGCCTTGTATCGTCAAGTGTCGCGAAAATACCGAAAACACGCAAAAATATCGAAAACACGCAGCAAACCGCCTCTCTCTTTCTCTCTTCTCTCTCTTTTCCGCTGTTATTATTATTCTTCATGTCTCTCTGCTGCAGGTCGCTCTGCCTTACCGGACTGTGTTCCTGATGCTGCCATCTCTGCTCCTCCTCGCCGCTGCGCCAGCATTCTGTCTCACTTCCTGGTTCCTGCCGTGTGACTCGGGATGACCTGCAGCTCCATCCAGAGGAGATCCGCTGCGAGACGTGAAGCTGCGCGTTGTGTTTGTATTAGGAAAAGCTTGAGCAGAATTTGATCCGCAGCCAACGACAGGCTTTTATCGAACGTTTCCTCGGGATTTAATCGGCGATTGATTACCTGCAACGGATTAGGAAAAACGTCACTTAAACCTAAGAAATGTATGGCGGCCTATTAGGGCCATAAAACGTCAGGCGAAAATGTCGATTCTGCCACAACAAAAACAACAAAAACTCACATTTTGAGATTGATTTCAGAAATGTTCAAGAATATAAGGCTGAAAATTCCTGAGCTAGAAAAGTAAAAAGAAATATTTTTTTAAGTACAATTTTGAGAATAATCTTGGAAATTTTCTAGAAAAGCCTTGGAAATTGGTGACATTCAAAACTCCACAATTTGTGACTTTTAGAAAGTTTTGAGTTTCAAAAGTCCAACATTTTCCCCTTTTGCAACTCAGGAAGTTTTTACTAGATCTCAGATTAATCTGAGATGTTAAGTTTTCTTCTCACAAATTTTGGATTTTTTCAAACTTTTTTGTAGAAAATTTCTGGGATTAGTCCGAGTTTTTTGTTCTTCCCCTCTATCGACAATGACCCTAATATGTCGTCATAGAAATGTGAGACCATATGCATTTTTCATCAATAAAAGTTTCTTTTTATTGAAATGCTTGTAATAATTTAGTCAAATCGTATTTTTGAGCAAGTTAAATGACTGTTAGATGAGCACATATTGGATATCAGTCGCAGAATTGAGATAGGAAATCATATTATGACAGACTTTTGTGATTTTGAGAAACATTGTATCAATAATTTTCTAAGAAATCAAAGTTTGGGTATTTCATCAACTTTCGAACAGCAACAAACAATATGCATTACTTTGCATAATAAATATGAATATTCCGGAAAACATTTCTTTCATGTTTTGCATATTTTGATCTCTGGAAAGTATTTTAAAAGTAAACGACTCAAAAACTCTCCCATGTCACTGAAACAGTTTTAATGTTGCCTTGTTGCTCAGTTTTAAACTGAAAACACTGGAAGAGCTCTGCAGTCGAATGAAGTTGCGCCAAGAGTTGTATTCTCGTCCAACAGTCCCTCAATTTCTAAAACACGGTGAAAACCGAAAGGCTGCACGCACTTTTAAAATGACGTCAATAAAAAACAAGCACTTTAAACACAGTCAATATTCACAGGTGGCAAATATTTCCTACATGAGTAAGAATAAAAACACAGTCGTACAACTGGAATCCTATTGTTATGATGAGAAAATGTCCCCTTTCATTCGACAGCACGTTTCATTCAACATGTTCAATAAAAAGGTCTCGTTTAAAAACAGCAATTACAAAAATTAGGAGACGTCGTCTTAAAAAATAAAAAAAAAAACTCTTTAAAAACACGTCGAAACTAGAAATATCTAGATTTCCCGATGCCAAGCAGTGGCTTAAGTTAAACTTCGAGGGGTTTCTGAGGGATCGGAGTCCGGATGCTCCGGTTCTGGATCCTCACAGTCCGGGCATGATGTAGGCGATGTTGTCCAAGGTGTTTGACTGACGGGGAGAAGAAGAAAAGATTTCAGGAAGCAGAACATTTGTATATCAAAAAAAAAAAGAAAAACGTCTGCATTTATATTCATCGACCTTAAATCTGACACCCCTAAATGAAACCTAGTCCTACCAAGGAATCATCGAATTATTCAACAGGAAAACTGATTTTGTAATGATTGTGATGATTGATAATATTGTCCATTTGAGACCCATTTTCAACAAACACAATGATAATGTCACAAGGTTCCCACTGGGATTAAAAAAAAAAAGAAATTCCATGACTTTTCCATGATTCTCCATGACCCTTGTATGACAGGTTCAGAAAGAAAAGCGTATGACTGAAAGACTAACCCCACCAAGTTGGGATTAGTCTGTTCTGTTCTTGTGGTTCAATCAGAAAGATTTTATCATTTTGGTTATAAAACTAGGGAGAAAATTATTCACCGGTCACAGTTTGACTTAGTTGCCATTGCCAACAGGGGGCAGTATTGCTCCACCAATGATAAAGATATCGGAGCGATTTCCGTTATCGGATAAAGACACCCCTATTCATATACGCACTAAATAAAGTAAATGAACCGAATATTTGTTATTTAAATAAAGAAAACCAAAACCCTCACCAGGACGTTTCGAGGGCATCCGTTCAGCTGCGGTATCTGCGCTGTGAGGCACGTCAGCGGGCCCAGCGCACACAAGATGGAGTCCAGCAGGACGGACAAACTCCCAGACACGGCCACCATCCCCTAAGACAACACACCGTCACTCACAGGCCTGACTGATTTCCAACTGTACGTCTAGATTTTTCGTCCACGTTTGATCATCAAGCTCACTTCTGTTTCTTGCAGCCGATGGCCGATGAGCGACAGGGACTCCCCCAGCAGCTGCAGGTGAGCCGCCGCGTCGATGGGGTCGACGTCCGGCACCCGGGCCGGGGACAGCGACATGGTGCCGGGCGTTCTGGTTGGCGACACCAGCCCCGCCGCGGTTCCTACGACTGACGGCGAAAACCGCAATTTAATCAAAAAGAAACACATTTCCTGCATAAATATAGGAATGTCACAGGCTGCACGTCTCTGCTGAAAATGCTAAAGAGCTGTTGAGTGAAAAGAAGAAGAAATGCTAGAAAAGGAAACATCAGCATGATTTACTCAAACTCACTAAGCAGCGTGTCCGCGAGATGTTTGTACACTCAGAGGAAACTTCTTGTTTTCGTCATTCTTCTTCTAAAGCACCAAGCACGATTGTTCCAGGTCTGTGGACCCGCTTCATTGAAACTTTAAAGCCAAAATTACACGTTTCTCCTCATCGTTCCACTGAGAAAACTAATGTGACGTGTTACAGCCAGGTGAGCTGTGTTGGAAACACTCTAGTGGTGAATCCAACCGAAGCAAAAACAGGAGAAAAAAAAACAACACAAAAAACGTAAAAAAAAAGAACAAATGGATAAATATTCCGATAAATATTCCAAACTTAGAAAAGTTGAAAATAGTAGAAATGAGAGCTGAAAGAAAGAGCGGAGTCTTTCACAGGATTGCTGCAGGTTTCACCAACACAAGTTAAGACTTTTTAAGACCATTAAGAATGAAATTTAAGCCAGAAATGTAGAAATGATAATTCAACAGCGAAGACCAACGCTGTCCATCCAGCCGGTGATAAATTCAACACTTTACCCACGATAAACGCACTAAAGCTAGCTAGCAGCTAGTTAGCGGTAGCCACAACAACCTCGAGTCACAGAAAGGAATGATCATCATTACGCAACAGAAAATCCCCTGAGATCAAATAGTTCAGCTACGACTAAATTTAAGAACTGTAATTACGGCCAACTTGATTGAACTCAAGACATTTTAAGGCCTTAACTTTAGATGAGTGAATTTAAGAGTTTTTAAGGCTGCGCTGACACTTTGTGCCCCAAAATGGCAGAAGCTACAGATTCATCAGCAGCGTCTCCCTGTTAGCTGCGAGGCGAAGCTCCCAGGTACCTTTGGTTTTGCCGTCGCTGGAGGACTTCTGCTTCACAGTGGTGGCCTCGGCTTTGTTCTGTTTGTGTTGCAGATACTGGGCCTTCTGCCGCCACACCTGAGATTAAAGCAGACCCGGGAAACGGTCCGTCAGAATTCAGAACCGGTTTCCCACATTCAGAGATTTCACTCCTCCCTGGCCCGTTTTCAAAAAACAGACGCCATTCATTTACGGCATCGAAAAGAAACTTTGGAACTAAATCCAACCCCACAGACTGAACATTTAAACCAAATAGTTAATCAGTTTTCCTCATGACGCGTTCAAAAACTCACTAGTTTGTCTTTCTCGGGCATTGCCTTCCACACCTCGGCCAGCTTCTTGCTTAGTTCTCCAAAATCTGCAGATTGCACACACACAGCATTGCTACAAGAGCTTTAGGTCAACATGAGGGAATAATGTCCGTTTACCCACCTAAACCTGGATGCTCTGCATTTATGTTCACCCTGTACTCTTTACAAAACACCTGATATGCTGTCGTCGTCTTCTTCTTGGTCTACAAGAACAAAAACAGAAAGAAAAAGGGTCCAATAAAGGGTCCAGTAAGAGGACAGGAAGTTGAAAAATCCTAAGAAATGAAAGCTGAAATGAAACCTTCTCTTTCTCGTGTTTGTCTCTGTCTTTGTCCTCTTTCTTCTTCTTCTTTTCCGTCGTTCCGTCGTGGCCTTGGTGGTGGGGAGTGATGGGTTTGCTCATGGCGTACATCGGCCCGACGGCGCTATGGCTGACAGTGGGATGGGAGTGACTGTGGCTTCTTGACGATTCTGGGGAAAACGGCACAGAGAGGAAGACATCAAGGGTTTTGGTCGGACCACATCTCACGCCTTTTTGCTTTTGGTCAGCCATGAAGTGCGTTTGCATAGCAAACGGTAACCAGGGCAGCTGCGGTCAGATAGGACAGTGTTGCGGTTTGCTGCTCTGCTGCATTTATTTACGTCAGAACTGAGAAGACATTCCAGGACAGGAAGTGCCTTCACAGTATCGGGTGCTTCTGAGCGTTTGCTCACCTGTCAATGTCTTTCCTGTCATTCCTTATCACAGCGGGTTAATGTTTAACACAGGAATGCCGAACGTGACGTCATTTACAGCTGGTTTGATTGATGGAATGGAGGCATTCCCAGCATCAGAAACGTAAGATACAGTCACAAAATCAGAAACGGAGAGAATGAACAGAGAACTCACCTCCAAAACTTTTGCTGTGCTTTTTGTCCTTTCCACTTTTGTCCTTGTCCCTGTCCTTCTCCTTGTCTTTCTTCTTCTTGCTTTTCTTGCTCTTCTTCTTCTTCTTGGACATGTGCGTATATGAATCGTCTATGATCAGCTCCCCAGCCTCCAGTTCTCCACCGGAAGAAGAGCTATCGTCTCCCATGCCTCCTCCGTAATGACCTGATGAGGAGAGGAATCAGCATTTAGAAGAAACCTAAATATGGCAACGACTGCATAGCGCAGACTAGATAGAGCAGATTTGATGTCTGGGACCGCGCCGATCTGCTTTCTTCACTTCCGATACCCGATATCTGAAGTTTGGTATCAGCCAATTCCAATACAATCCAGGAATCAGTGCTGAAGTGACTTAAGACGTTTCTTTTCATTTGATGACTCTAACAAGTACAGTTAGGAGTATAACAACTAATGTAAAATAAACAATAAAGAAACTGATGAGAACAACTTATTTTGGTGAAACATCAAGAATAGAACTACAACAAACCTTCTTCAGATTGTTCAGAAAGTATGATTAGGAATTCTAAATATGATGTAAAATAATACAGCATAGAAATAGCCTGAATAGCAAAGATGCAAATCTTTCAGTGTCTAGAGATTCGATTCTGATTTTTAGGGTCATGATTTCATCGTGAAACAATTTTTCTATTGAAACTTTCTTGCCCGAAAAGAGAAAACTACAGTGTAAACAAACCATTCAAACCAATTTTATAAAATACAAGCAGCAAATATGTTCAACTTAAACGTGTTTTAAAATCGATTCTGGAGGATTTTGAACCAAATCAGAATTTCCAAGATCAGGAATTAAGATTCTTCATAGAATGTGTTTTTTTGCACCTCGACTCCATGGACCTACCCGTGGATCAGGCTCATTGCTGTGGAATTTGTTCCCAACATGTAGACCGATCTAAGACATCAGTGCGTCTCGAATCTGGAAACATTTACGTTTTGTTTGTTTTTTTTACCTTCCACCTCCACCTCCTTCCCCACCACGGGCAGCGGCTCTCTGCTCTGCGCCGCCTTCTTCTTGGGCAACTTGGACGGCTGCGTCCTGTCTCTGTCCTTGTCCTTCTTCACGCTGACCTTGGTCGGGTGCGGCGTCACCGGGAAGCTCTCGGGCTCCTCCTTCTCCGGCGACATGATGAGCTTCATCTTCAGCCCGTCGGCCTCGCGGAGCGTCAGCGGCTCCTCTTTGGGAGCGCCGCCGTGGAACAGGGACGACTTGGAGGAGGACGAGGACGACGAAGAGGAGTGCTTCTTGAACGACGACGACAGAGACGTGGGGCGGGAGTGCGACGAAGAGTGGCTCCCTTTGCTTCCGCCGCCGCTGCCCTCGCGCTTGCGGTCCTTGGAGGAATGTGAGGAGAACGTCGGGTAGGAGGGCTTCTTGTGCAGGTGGGGGCTGGGGTCAGAGCCTGTCGCCATGGGGGAGGTGATGGCCTGCAGGAGGCCCATCGCCGTGTCCGCCGGGTGCGACGCGGACGGGGAGGAAAGAGGCGGAGAGCGCTCTACTGACTTGTGCTTCTTCTTATGAGGAGGCGGGCCCAAACCGTCGTGATCTGACGGAGACGACAGAATGACGGTTATTCAAGATACTTGCGAAAGTGAAACATCATTATGTGTTTTCCAGCCACACAATGTCACTTCCCAGCACAATCAAGTGACTATGGCAACTTCAGTTGTTAAAAAACATGCTATTTCTTATCAAATATGACCTAAAAGAAATTCATCTCAAGATGGTAATGATCATGTGTTGTATTTGGCCCAGTCAAAGTCCTAAATCCAATTAAAATCTACAGTAAGACAGAAAAAGTGAGGTTCGTAGGGGCAAACCAGAATGCCGAAAAAAATAAAAATCCTTATTCATCAAAGTTTTAATCTCTCACCTCGGTAATAGTGGTCGTCACTGTGCTTCTTCTTCTTCTTGTGCAGGTCTCCTCCCAGCATGAAAAGCTCTGAATCCTAATTTGAACGAATGCAACACATTTCACGCCACTGCAATCAGCATCAGCGTTAACTTGCAGTGTGTGAAGACGGATCCCATACTTTCGGGCGTTTCTTGGAGGACTTTCGTACTTCTGCAGCAATCTCTTCTTCCTCTCTTAGCAGATCCTTGTAGGATCTCCTCTTCTCCCTCTGACTACGCCCAGCAACGAGGCCCCCGTCGGCCCCCATCTCTAAAATATGACATTTGTCCAGAAATGCTTTAGAAAAGTCAGAATTCCCATCATTACTTAAGGCAGAATGATGCTGCTGCCATCACATCTGAAACATGGGGAGTGATATTGATATAACCAATCATTTCTTTACCCTTTAACTCCTCATATGCCATGGTTTCCTCTGGTCAGCTCTTTTTCTTGTTTTGGGATGAAATTAGCATAAGGACCTGTCAAACAAACAAAAAAAGATGGAGCCTAAAGTCAACTTAAAGAACAAGTGAGACCAGTTCAGAGTGGGAAAGGTTCCGTTATTACCTTGCGTGAATTCAAGCCGGACTCCAACCAGGAAGGAAACGGAGGAAACAGACTCAAAAGTGCGACAAACTCAGGAAAAAATATTAGCGTTGGGATTGTAAATGAAAAGTCCGTCATTCATTAACCGGTAGTGAACCGTGAGCTAAACTAATTCCCGCCTCCTTTCGTTAAGATACACAAACACACCCCCTTCTTCCTTTTCACTTAGACTCTCCGCGGCCAGCACATTCCAGGTTTGCGTCTCTCTCCGCCGGCTCGCAGCCGACTGACCGGCGAAGGCGACTCAGAAAACACTGAGGCTTTGCCTAAAAGCTAGGCCGCGCTCGCTGGAAAGTGGACCACAAAACGAGGCGGACTTGCGTTCACCCCTTTTATGCTTTTATAATCTATTGCTCGGCAATACATGCACATTACAAGCACCGGAGCGTGAAAAAACCCGCGTTTGTTCAATTTTAGTACCTCAACGGAAACCTCCGATTTACGCGGGTCCGTTCGCCATCTTTATTGTCGGCATAACAATTCGTGTGAAAGAGGCGTGGCTTATGCTGACGCAGCCAATGAGCGTGGGAGAAAAGAGAAACGTTTACATTTACGTCCGCTAATGTTCCGTTGCTACTTTTTGACAGTAGTGAATGACGCCGTAGTGTTTTCGTTTGTTACCCCGGCAACCAAAGATTCTCAGATGAATATGGGTTTGAATGAAGCTGTCAAAGACAGAAACAGTCATAGACAACGCACCGATTTATTGGTTCATAATGAATTTCAAATATTCTTTACAGCACAGTTCACAGAGTCATTATGCACAGTTTTAAAAAAAAGAAATAAGGCAATAAAACGAAGACACTTTGACAAGAAAATAAAAGTTTCACCAGTTAAACTGTCAAACCATTGTGTACTGCAATTATCACAGCAAATTTAATGAGTTAGGCAAAAAGAGAACATGTAAGTCACATAGTAAAGTCATAGTTACACCAGACTTTAGAGGTTTTTTTTGCCAGTTGTTTAAAAGTTGAACATTTTCTCAAAGATGCACCGAAAACCAGTGACCAGCTCCGACAAGTCACGTCCAGCCAAGGGTTATGACCAAACTTAAAATCCAACCTCTTTTTCAGTCAGTTAGCCGACCACGCCAACGGGTCATGCTAGCAACCCTCTTCGGTGTAGTGGCTGTGATTGAGAGAAGATTCAGAGTTCCTCTTTTGAAGAGTCTAGTGCTGAAATTTAGAAATGTTAGTTCTTTTCAGAAAGTCTTACTTAAGCACACAGCAAGCATCATCCAAGAAATACACACAGAGATTGATCATGTTAGAAATGCTAACCGCACTAGTTACCCGCGTTGGGTGTTAAAACGTCGTCTTTTACAGACATTAGTGGCTTCCTGTTTAACCGCAGAGCTGAGTGACACCACCCGATGTGATGTTGGTCTGGTTCAAACAGACTTCTTGAAATTCCTGCACATAGTCACAGTAAATGTATGAATAATTTAATAATTTGACATATCTGGCATTCACTTCAAGTTTTTTCCCCCCCCCCATTCACACACTACGTTGGAAACAGTTGCTATTTATACTGAATGCAGATTCCTTGTGGGAAAAATAACATCTTTCACGACATACATTTTGAAATGTGTTTTTAAAAAAAAAGTGAGTTATCACAGATGCAGAAGAATTTGGCTGTATTCAGTGTTTTTTTTCACTTTACAATAAACATTTTATGCAGACAGATATATTTTTAATTTATTCAAACCTTGAAATAAATATAGTACTAGATAGTAATACATATTGTCATGGGAGGTCAGAGCTTTAAAAAAAATCAGACGTGTATTACCTCTGATACATATCAATACCGTTTCTCTAGAATTTAAAGATCATAATGTCAGTGGTTTTGTATCAAGTTGACAAAACCCATTTGGAAAACTTCATAAGATACATTGTTGTTAAAGTTTTTTTTTTTTTTTTTTTGTCTTGGTGAAAATAAAAAGCTGATGTCTGCAGCAGTCCCTTCAATAAATACCGACAGCCAATCCCGGTGCGGCGTTTGGATCTGTGGCCTAACACAGACAATTTGAGTCTCTGCATATTTAAAAAGGAGCTGCATGTCGGCTCTGTGTGCAGTTAATCTTCTACCTAGCATCCAGGTTCTGTTTCTGTAGACTAAGCGATGTAAAACTGGCCAGTAAGTCAGTCACCTCGTCCACCTGAGACAGAAAACAGAAAAGTGAACCTGTTTAAAAGTTTCACCGTGACGAGAGTTAAATGAAAACACCTGGCGACTGTCTAGCTCACCTGCTCTCTGGTGCGTGTGTGCTGCAGCTGTGTTGAAATGTGCTCCAGTCTGTCTTTCGCCTCACTTTGGCCCATTAGGTTCAGGTACTCCCTGAGCATCTGGATAATCTGCGTGTGGGGAAAACGGTGGGTGAAACCGCATCCGTCGCTATCGGCGACGCGAGCGAACCCAGGCCCCGAACTGATTTTGTACCTGGGTGACTTCCCCTCGGAGGGTCTCCAAGCTGCGCGATTCTCCCTCCTGCAAAATGTTGAGCTTGGAGCGCGCCAGGTGCAGCGGGGTCCGGCCCGCGCGGTCGAGGGCGTCCACGCGAGCTCCTGACGAGCTTAAAAAACGACAAGAATAAGTTCTTTAGCAAAGAAAAAAAAAACACTTAAAAACACTTAGAATAAGCTTTAGCAAAATTTTACAGTATTATGTGTTTTGCAGTTACATAGTGCTAATTTATAGCACAATCAACCAACTGTGGTAACTTCAGTCATTATTTCATAATATTTTGCATTTCTATAAAGTAAAAGAAATTCGATTTCATAATTTAACATCTTGAAAGTGGGCCTCTGTCTCTTTAAGAAATTCCTGCTATTTCTGAAACACAACATGGCTCCCCTATCAACACTCTAACAACGTTTAACGAGCTCGATAATGAGCTCAGCAGATGCACAACTCCATCAGGTGTTTGCTAATTCCCGCGGACTAGTTTGAAGGAGCTGAGCTGCTCTGTGAGGCAAAAGCTTGGAGGAGGAGCTTCGTCCGGGAAGGCGGGGCTAGATCCATCAAGGCGTTAAAGGATTTCTCAAGCAGGCATGGAGGAAAAAATATAAATAAATCAATCAATCAAGTCAACATTCCAGGAACGGTTTTGATGAGGGAATAAAATGATGTAAAGCTAAAAAAAAAAAAAAAAGTGTTTGGCAGTTTATTAGTGGTTCAATTGAATGTACAAGTCTAGTGAGTTTATTTATTAATGTATTTTAACTGGAAGGTCAAATCATTTTCGAAAATAAGCTCTTACATTTTGCATGTACAACTCGCTGTTCAAAAATCGTTGGTGTTGAACTTGAATCCGTCGTCTATTGTATTTAATACCCAAGTCTCATCAGTATTCATCCAAGTTACTAACTTTGTTAATAATCGCCTACGACGTTTAGAAATATTTATTCATAACCAAACGTATTTTTGATGCACAACATTTGAGCAGTGAAAATAATAAAGTCAAAAGTTTTCTACAAAAGGTCTCACCTGATCTCAGCAGGGTGGTGATTACAGGCACGTGGTTGGTGCAGGCCGCTGCAGGGACACGCGATACATTTCAAAACATGCCACGAAACACGCAAAGTTGATAAGAATATAAATGAAGTATTGCTTTGGGCTTTTCTGTGCAGGTTGAGCTTTAAGAAAAGCAGCTTAGTAAAAACCAGAGTCGGACATTTTCAGCCACAGCAGTTTCAGTTTTCACAGGTCAGGAGGGCGGTGGAGGTCTTACCCAGGTGCAGAGGGGTATTCCCCAGGCTGTCTCTCTGGTTGGGGTCGGCACCATAACTCAGCAGCAGCTGCACTAAAGCAAGACAAGAACATCTGACATTAAACGTCATGTTCACAAGCAGGACGGTATATACGGATTAATATAAATAAGAAAAAAAGGAGAGAAAATTTCCACCAAAAACCTTGAAATTAATCTCAAAAATTTGAGGGGAAAAAATTGTCTGAGCTTGAAAAGTCAGAATTATTTTTTTACTTTTGAAATTCAGTATTTTACACTTTTTTGTGTGTGTTAATTTCTAAGAATTTCTAAGCATGTTTTTGACTTTGCAGACAGAAATTTCTAGATTTTTTACTAAAATAATTTTTGAGATTAGTCTCTAAATTTCTTTTTTGTTTCCTGCTTTGTAAACTCATAAAAGCCCAAGTTTTTTTTTCTAGAAAATTTCTAAGATTAATAAAAAAAAATGTTTTTTTTAAGAAAGTTTTTGACTTTTCAAAACGGCCCAAACATGTCGTCATTGCATCAGCTGGCAGTAACACACCGATGCTGTCGTTGCCATTGCAGGATGAGAAGTGAAGAGCCGTCCGGCCCTTGTCGTCTGCAGCACAAGGGTCCATGTCATCCTGCAGGAGCTTTCGCACTTAAAAATACAAAAACAAATAAAAAAAATAACTTTATTTCTTTTGATTCCGGACCTTTGAACTGTGTGACCTTGTCACTCGCACCTGTGTCGATGTCATTGCTGTTGGCAGCTTCCCTCAGTCTTTTAGCAGCTGTGGAAAAAGATGGACAGAATTATGATTTCACCAACAGCCTACGTTGCAATACATAGTGTTATTTAGGGAGATATAAATGTAAATTAATGCAACAACAAACACATTTAAAAAAAAAAACTTTTTTTATTATTTCCAAGCAATATTTTTTTCTTTTTAAAAATGCATTGGTATAGATGCAGTGCTAATTACTTACATCTCCAAAGTAATATTTTTCAACTTTAACACTAATATGTAGTGTAAATCTTTGACATGGGTAATATGGCTCTCTGCCCCGGTTATGAGGGGCCAAAGATAAAAGTGAATAAGACTTTTTCTGTCATTTTCTGTTGCTGACTTTCACACTCTGCCAATATTTCTACTGCAAACCACGTGTGGCTGAAGTTAGTGTCTGATTCACAGCATTAAAGGGCTATTTCAATATTTTTGAACGTATTTAAACATTAAGCCTTACATATATTGGCTGATTGGACTTAAACTAAGTGTCTCAACATTAAACCCAGACAATTTAAGCTTAAGAAAACCTTTATTTTTAATGGAGCAACACAAAAAAATGGTACTTAAATTACACATTGTTCCTTCTCACTTATTATTCTGTCACTTCCTTCTTTTGGATTATATAAGATGGTTATGTTTCTGATTTTTTTTCAGCTCTCAAATGAACAAAAATGATTACTTTTGTGTCCCTGTAAACTAATATTACAAAGTGACAGCTGAAGACATGATTGGATTTGTTCAGTCTGATTGTTTATTGCACGACTTGTAGATTTTTGTTATGTGGATCCCAACAATCCTGAGCATCAGTTTTTTACGGCTCCTCTCACCGTAAACGTCTTTCCCGATGGGCCCCTGGCTCCGCACGGCTCGCTGGTGTCTCCTGGCCCGGCTCCCTGCCATCTTCCCCAGCCTGCTCGACTCGGCGATCGGGTCGAGCTCTCCTCGCCCCGGCTCCCACAAAAGGTGCAGGTACCTGAGCTCTTTGTCGTCTCTCGATCCAACTCGACCCAACACCATTTTGCCCTCCCCTATCCCGCTGATCCCGAACCCCACAGACGTCGCCGCCGCCGCCGCCTCTGCGCCCAAGTCCTCCATCCTGTCCGCGGAGCTGCGCGGCTCCGCCGCTTCCCGGGTCTCACCTCCGGCTGTGTGTCCTAGCATGCATTCCCCGTCGGAGATGGCTCGGTCATTTTTCGAAACAGAGCTCCATCCGTCCATGTTCTTTTCTTTCCCTGCTACATCGGCAGCTCAGTTTTTAATAGCCAGCGCTCGGGAGGAAACACGGCTCTCAATTGACTTAGGAAGCAGCCATTAGCGCACCGTCACTAATAGTCTGAGAGACATTGCATGAATAGTCATGAACTCTCTACCAAAAGCAGTCCCGTCATGTCTTAAGTTCAACTACTAAATCAAAACCTTCGACCAAGATGTCAGCTATTGAACAATTTACATGTCAGCTATTGAACAATTTACATGTCGTTCCGTCAAAGTAGTTACAGAGACGGCTATTGGACAATGACTGGCTTTAAAGAACTAACAACCAATCAGAGTTCGTGATGTTCATACGTTACTCTCCATTAGCGTCAACCCAACCAAGCAGCCAATCAGAAGGTACCAGCGGGGGACCAATCAGCGTCCAATAGTCGCTGAAAATACGGTAGCGAGATAAAGTCTCTGCGTCAACGTCGCCGCCATATTGTGGGTGATGTTTTAGTTGAAATGTGCAAAAAGCAAACAAAAAAAAACAAAACAAAAAAAAAACATTCTTACTATTCAGGGAAAAGGAAATAACAGAAAAGATTTTGTATTAGAAAATTAGCACAATTTATTTAGGATACACATGGGTGGCACTGATATTTGGTTATGTAGGGTACTGTCACATGAAGATGAAAAAGACAATAAAAATGCAGAATAGCTACAATTGCTTTTGGGAAAGGAGAAGGAAAATTAAGAGTAAAGGCACACAAATATGGCAACAAAAAGGTGGATTGAAGATCAGAAAGAAAAGAGTTTATATAAAATACAAAATTCAACGTTAATCAAAAGTAGAAGAAATGATGAAATTAAGAGTAGGTTATCTTTTAAAATTACATTTTACATCAAATTGGGAGAAAAAACTAATCATTAATGTGAAAGATGTGCAGAGAAAGAAAATGTAGAACATGATGACTTGTAAAACATGCGAGCCTGAAAGGGAGAGATTGAGAAAAAGAATCAGGACAGGAATTGAGTCTTAAATGAATATTGGGAACTGAAGGAAACATAGTGGATATTTAGAAATTAAGCAAAGCATTATATATCTAAAAATAGAATTTAATTAAAATGTAGAATTTAATTGATGTAGTGTTGCTACATACTCATGTACAGTAGGTGGTGGTATGGACCTGAAAGTTGCTTGAGGGCCGCCATAATAGAAAAGAAGAAACACCCGCATGTACCTGTGCAAGTACAACCATTGATATTATAAAACTAAAAAAATAAACATTATAACTGGTTTTTGTAAAGGTGATTCTGCCTCTGACTGACTGGTTGAAAATACTGAAAAATCTCTGTATGTTGTATTATGTATGTTAAACCCAGGTCAAATATCAATAAAACAACATTTGTGAAACTCAGTTATATAAAGGAAATATTTTAACAATAATTGATCTTTCAAGTAACAAGTACCATCTTCCAGTGATCAGCAATAACTTTGCAACCAGCAGGTTATGACACAAATAAAAAACTTGGGAAAACCAAGGAATCAATGGAAAACCACTTTTGTTTTAGTCTAACATTGCCTAAAAATTAATTAAAAAAAATTTCTGAGTAGAAAAAGTTGCCCACAATGGCAGTAAAGATAAATTTCTCTAGCATAAGGATAAGATATTTGATCTTCCTGAGAAAATGACAACAGAATGATGCATTTTCCGGCCATTGTTGACAGGGGGAATAAAAGGGAAGAGTAAATTTCCTCCAGGAAACTCAGAAATTGTGAGATTAAGAAAATTGTAAATTTCTGATTTTTTTTTCACGCAAGTTTTAACTTTTTTGGGGGGCGGAAATTTACCCTTTGCTTTATTCTTTTTATATTGCATCTACAACGGCTATAATACGCCGTCGCACAAAACATTATTTTTTGGGTAATACAATCAGAGGTCAAGTGTCCAGAGGACACGGACGCTCCGGCTGATCCCGGGTGGCTTGGAAAAGCGGGGTTTGCTGCCGTTCCGTGGGCGACTTGCCTGGCTGGCACCTGGTGGACGCTGCGCCTCGGCTTGCTGCGCGACACCCTAACGAGTCAAATATCTCTGCTGACAAAACAGCGGCGGCTTACGGTGCGTGAGAGCTGAGCGGAAACAGTTTTCTGGAACGCAGGAAGAGACACAAACAAAGGTGAGGAACTTATAAAGAGAATTAAAGAGAAACTGAACTGAGGAATTTGTCTTTGGAAGGTGTGGCTCAGAAATCACTATACGGTAGTCTATTACGACTACCGTATTAAACTGAATGAACACAAGCGCATAAAGAAAGAATACATGCTTTGCCTTTTCATCATTTGTGCATCTTTTTTATCGTTGCTGCTTTTCTTGTCCTCCAGATTCACACTAAGAATTTTTTAAGAACTCAACATATCAAGGACATTTCTGTTCTATGTTTTAAAAAAAAAAGATCTTGGTTTCCACTCAAGTGATTCTACCACCACAAGTTGTGATTTTAAAATTTTCTACGGGAGAGGAGTTGTTTTTTTTTCTATTTTAAATGTGAAATTTCTATAATTGTTTTGCAAATATATGGCTTAATTACTTCTGAGTGTCTAGTTCTTTCAGTAAATTGCCTTTTTCTAAGTCCACGTCATGATTAATTGGTTATTAAATTAGTTGACGATTAATTCAATTATTGATTAATCGTTTCAGCCCTGAAATGGCGGAAACTATTCTGAAATAGTTTAATTATCGCTCAGCTGTTTGTAAAAATGTTCTTATTCTTCGGTGCTTGATCAGTGCTTAGACGTTATCTACTGACATGTCTGCACATGTGCGATAAACAATATTCATCCCACTATTGCTAACTTAGCAGCTTTGTTACTACATTGAGCCTTTTTACACCCAAAAAATCTGTGTCAGCTTTTTAAAGATCGGCGATCGGCCAGAAAACTACAAATTGTTGTTCTCCTAATATTTTCATTCAACTAAAAATGGTAATTTTGATCACATCAGGACAAATCAGGGGTAAATTATACGCTCTGTTTAAACAACAGATCTACCTGAGCTGAAGGCCCTCAGGTCAGAGTGGACACAGTGCTCCAGGAAGCGCCGCAGAGGCTGGATGTGAGACAGCGGAGTGTCCCACTCTATGAGGAAGTCCTCAACCATGTGATGAATGGCCTTCGGCCTCGGCAAAGGCCAGCCGTGGGGACGCGTCTTCATGTCCTGTTCTGTAATAGACACAAAAATAAATACAAATAAACCCAAATTCCTGAAGCGCAAAGCCTTATCCCAGCGGCAGCATCCATACCCGTAGGGAGCGAGTCGTAGTAGTATAAAACAGGGTGGAGGAAGTTGGATTTCCAAGCCCTGGTCCAGTCGGTTTCTGACCTGTCGAGCCCCAGGTAGTCTATCTTGCTCTTCCCGTACTGCATGACCAGAACTATCAGTCCCTGACTGGACACATTATGGCCAGAGAGAGAGGAGAACCGGGGCAAGGCCTGGAGCAGAAACTCTTCCACGTACTCACAGTGGGAGCTAAAAGGTGAGGAAACCAGGCAATACATGCAAACAGTGCAGAAAGGAGTCACGTTCTAAGTTAAGAAAATAAAGATCTTTATTTCATTTATGCGATATGTTTTAGTCGGAAAAATAAAGAGTATGAACATTTGAAACAGGAGCATTTGTAGGAAGCAGTGCTGTAGCTAATGATTATTTTAGTTATTGCTTATTGTCACCTTTATAAAACAATGGTCTAATTCTTTTTTTTTACCAAATGATTATTTAGACAAAAGAAAATAAAACACTTGGGCTATTATGTTAGGAAGGTGACAGTATTCTGGCAACTTTTCTGAAGATTAATTGATTAATCAGATAAAAAAATTGTCACATTTTTGAGCTTAGAAATACATTGAATTATGGAAATAAGTAACTCGGTTCCTTTTTTAAATAAGCAAATAAACATTTTGTTGCCTAAACTGCAGTAGCAGTTTTCCATAAGTGAAAATGTGACAAGCAGAAAGTTTAGAGCTGATCTGTTGATTAATATTTTTCTTTTTAATATTAACCAATTAATAATTAGGTAGCAAAAGGAGAATTTTTATTTTTATTTTATTTTGTTACATATTTTGCAACTTGGTGAAACTAAAACTGGCACTTGAGGAGTCTGAGTGAAACATATGCAGACAAATGTGTTTTTTTTTTTTCATTTTAAATGTAAAATATATAAATTCTTTGCATAGTTTTGGCTTTATCACTTTTCTGAGTATGGCTCTTCTTTCAGCAAATGGCCTTTTTTAAAGTCTTTATATTCCAGTTGACGATAGATCGGTTAGTAAATTTGTTGCCAATTATTTCAGTAATTGACTAATCAATTACTAATCACTGGGGTTGAAACGCAAAAAAACAAGCAAAAGTATCCATAAACTCGTGAACTGTTTTCAAGTCATTGGTCTATTCTGACGTCCGCTTCCCCGTTTGCTGCGTCCGCTCCATGGCTAACCTTCAAAATGGCCGCCGAGTAAACGACGACTCCAAAGCTCAAGATATCAGAGAATCGTCTCCTCACCCTCGGAGAAGAATAACATCCCCAAGCGTCTCAAACATCTGGTACGGTCCGGAGGCCTCCCCGACCCGCTTCAGGATCCAGGACATCAGCTGCGTTGTCATAAGTCTGGTCGACGGCCATGTGTTGCCGTGGTGACGGTATTCCAGCACACGGTGAACGGCTCGGGCTGAGGCAGAGAGGCAGAGGCAGAGAGGCGGAGCGGCACATTTGAACATTTAAATGATGTGAAGGGACAGAACTGTTGCAGCTGGGCGCTACCAACCACCATCGCTCGGTTCTACAAATTGGAATTAACGCTCCGAACAGAGTATTTATCATTTATTCCAAGAAATTCATGATTTTTGTCGTTATCACAATAGTACCACAAATTGTTGTGATTAAATGTTTCTGAACTTTTTTTCTGACCTGTGTAACGGAATCCGTGGACGAAGCCCCCAGCAGAGGACCGGTAGTCTCTAGAGTGAGAGGCGGTTCCCAACAGGAACAGACCGGGAGTGTTCTTCCCCTCGTACCACGCCGTCACGCCCGGCAGTCTGCCTTTTGCGTTTTCGCTGGGCGGCGGCCGTGCAGAGCTGAGGAGATTGACGAGAAGAAGGAGACGACGACTACATTCTTTAGGAATGAATCGACAGGTACTCCAGGGAGCTCGGTTCTCCTGATCTGTACCTGTCAAAAATGCTGAAGTTGAACCGGAAGCCAAGGCAGCGGATCACCCGATCGTAGGGTTTACGCAGGGAGAAGTTGTCGATGTGGTCCGGAAACTCGTCCCGAGGTTCGTCGAAACCTTTCCCCTCCTCACCGGTCTGCTTGAACTGCCTTAAGTTTAGATAGAGCTTGTCCCTCGTCTCTGGATTCTTTGTTCCTGACCTCTTCCTGCCCCTTTCCTCCTGTTTGGTGATGACTACGTCCTCCAAGCGAGCCTCTGCCAGACCGTCCAGAGATTTCAACTGGTATGTGTCTAAAACCTCGTTATTAACAGCCCTGGACAGAATAAACAAAGCAGAAGTATGTTTTATTTCCCCCAGTCATGTAAAAAACACAATAGTAAATAGTCCCTATCGTCACTTTTATCGTTGTCACCAGATCGCCCCCGCCTTAACTCTGAGCCGATTTATCGGTGCAGCCCTACTTTCCTGTGTTTACACCTTCCTTTACCTGAGATCTCCAACGTAATGCGTCTGCCAGGCCAGCCGGACGGTGCTGGAGCTGAGCATGTGCACCCGGCTTGCACTCCCTAAGATGCTCTGGGCCGTTTCGAAGGCGGAGTTTCCTTTCCCCAGAATCAGCACGGCCTGGTCCTTGTAGTCATCAGGGTTGGTGGAGATGGACTCGTAGCCCTCGGCCAGGTGCGACCCGGCGAACTCCACCTCCTGAGGAACCCACAGACCTGTGGCTACCAGGAGAATACTGGAGCAGAAATGAACAGCTTTAAGATTTTCATTTGAAAAGAAAATTGAGTTCCATCATCACTATTCTTAGAAGATACATTCCCACATGAAAGTTTGATTTCTCTTTTTGTAATAAACCACCTGCATGAGTAATCTGCTGCGTGCTGATCGGTGAGGATGTAGCTCCTTCCTGTGGCTGACCGCACCGACCTGACCCGTCCGACGTCCACGCCGTATTTCACCTTCAACCCCAACTCCCTCTCAAACGCCGACAGGTAGAGAGGGAAGGCGTCGGCCGGCGGGTAGAACTCCCCGCTAACGCGTTTGAACAGCAGGTCCGGCTTATCGCTCAGCAGAGAGTTCCAGTCGTGCCGCAGGTTGAACTCTGCGTTGTGTCTTCCTGTGTGGACTTTGTTGATGCTAATCAGCTTTCTGTGCCTGGGGTATCTTTAAACACAGAAAACAACAGAGAGAAAGAGAAATGAAACGACAATGACTTGCTTTAGAATCTGACACGTTCTGGTGGATCAAGAGATCTCGTGAGGGGCCCCACTTGTTGAAGAAGCTGCCCGGACTGGAGTTTCTCTCCAGGATGATGTAGTCCCGTTTTGCCTTGGAGAGGAAGAACCCCATCTGCAGGCCAGCAGGTCCGGCTCCGAGCACACAGTAGTGGTGGTGGCTGGTGCCATTGTGGAGATAATCGTTGGAGGAGGTTAAGACAAGGCCAACCAGGGTAAAAAGGATGAAACACAGAAGGTTTGCCTCCATAACCTGATGGTAGAGGAAGAACAGTGGCATTGAGAAAAAGTGTGATGCAGGTGGGGTTTGATTAAGGGTAAGGCTAGAATGCAAAATTTCTATTTAACTGCAGGAAATACGAAAAGCACATTTGTGTACTAACGCAAGATTAACAGAATTCTCTGTGTTCTCCATATACTGTAATTACCAATAAATTAGAATATCCATTCTGATAATGCTGGTTTGTCAGGCACAGACCTGGGCTTCACTAACTAAAAAGTTAGCTGGCTGCTAACCTTAAAGCAATAATCATAAACATCTGCTCTGCTTGCACTAAAAAGATACACCAACACAGTATTAAGCGGGAGCTAATGCTAAAGTGCTAACTTCAATTCAAATTATGTCTGCCTTTGAAAGACTATAACCCTTCACTATCAATTTAACTTTGATATTATAATTTAAATGTTCTATTCTGCCCTTATGTATTGCATTTGTGTTTATATATTTTTCACAACTGTTTAGTGTTTATTTTGTTCCCGTACGCTTCTTGTTTTAAGCTAATGGGAAAAGAGGAGCGCGCGAACACAAGGACCGGAAACGGAAATGCTCTTCACTTCAAAATAAGAGCATGAATATGAGCATGCAACCACTTGAGGAAACCAGTCGATAAAACATAAAAATTGACTCTATCGACGTTATTCAACTGAGAGTTAGCAATAAAAATGTATTTATAAACATTTAGGAGAAGCTGAATGTTTTCAGAGTTAGCAAAGGTGCTAACCGGAAAATGAGCAGAAATGCTAAATCTGGTCAGATTAATAGAGTCGATTATAAATAACCTTTTAAGCACATTTTTCTTAAACGTTTTTTATTAGTCTGATGTAACATTCCAATCTTAAATCACACGTTTTCATACATTTAATTCAATAATCAACAATAAACAGGAATAACACTGTTCTTATCTTGATTTTCTTACCTCGTTTGTTTGCTGACATTTTGCCGTTTAAATGTTTGAAATAGAGATTTTATCATCTTCTTTTGCTGTATAATTAAGCGAAATAATTGAAGCTTGAACACGAGTGATGTGGATATTTAATCTGTAAAGGATGAACTCACAGGGAACTAAGTTACAAAACTAAATGCAACTTTTAAATATTATTCTAAAACAATATGACTGTATATCCTGATACTTAGCATGTTTTAAAATGTTGAGACATTTTGTGTTGTTTTTTGTTTTGTTTATTTATTTTTAGAAACTGGCTAAACAGACAATAGAAAGCCCCTTTCATACGAGCGGGGTTTGTTTTGTTTTGTGTCATATTCTTAGTGATCAATAAAGCTTTCTGGTGTCCCCCAGCCCTCCATGAACTCCTTTAACCCTTGTTTCCCCCAACCCTGGTCCTCGAGGCACACTGCCCTGCCTCTGTCGGATGCTTTCAACTCAACAAAACCCTGTTAATCGGCCAAGTCTTCAATTAACGTGCGCTGAAGCGAGAGAAAGCCTGAAACAAGCAGGGAAGCGCCGCCGTGGCCGATGCTACGTCTCCCCCCACTGGGGATGCGGCGGCCAGATGCGACGCCGCTGTCCTCGCGCCACATAACAATCAAAGATGGAGGACTAACGAAAAGAGCGTCACCTTCGACACGAGTTGCCGCCTCTCTCACCACATCAAGTATGTCGAAACGACAGCATGTCTGCTCTCATGAGGCCTTATCCTCGGTAAATTTCCACCAGCAGCCGTCTTCCAACCCGGGCCGTGAACACCGGTGGAAACCAATGAGAGCCGCCTGCTGTAGGGGGGCGGAGTCAGAGGACTGCCGAGGAAAACAGTGGAGCGCGAGTCATATTTCAAATCTATGGAAGCCCGTTTCCGCCACTCTGTTAAAAAAATCAAATCAAATAAATTATCTCATTATTTTGAGATGTTGACTCATTATTTTTTAGACGAAACCTCATTATTTTGTGATACAACCTCATTATTTTGAGATACTATCTCATTATTTTGAGATACTATTTCATTATAATGATCACATTATAATTAAAATGATATACTGTCTCATTATTTCCTATAATAAAATAATAAATATTTTATTTTATTTTAACAGGTTGGTGGAAACGGGCTTCCATACAAATCTGCTGAATACACAACATCTGACATGTAACAAGCGAGTTGGAGTTAGATATTATTCCATCAACACTCCCAATACGCTCTATGAAATCTCAAATCTTTTACCTTGGCTGTTAGGGCCATGTGTTATGAAGTTAATTGTTGTGATAAGTGAAGGTGATAAAATCACCACTAGCTGGCGGTAGTGATAGTTAAAAATGCTCTCTTCCTCCAGACTGTATATATGTATATATACATATACTGCTCCAAAAAAATAAAGGGAACACTCAACACAATATAACTCCAAGTAAATCAAACTTCTGTGAAATCAAACTGTCCACTTAAAAAGCAACACTGATTGACAATCAATATCACCTGCTGTTGTGCAAATGGAATAGACAACAGGTGGAAATAATTTTCATATTTATTTCATTCATTCAGATCTAGGATGTGTTATTTGAGTGTTCCCTTTATTTTTTTGAGCAGCGTATATATAGTTACTATATTTATTTAAATAGGACGTCTTTTATGGGGTTCCATATGTGTCAAAAATATGTCCGGGTACTTTTATCATGGAAGCTGCATTTGCATGGGGTTCCATTTGTGCTAAAAATATGGAACCCCCGTCTTTCAGCAATCTATTTCTTCCTCAGACTTTTTTTTTCTTTGATGTATCAGAGTAAAGAGATTGAGTACCAACGCAAGTCATACCTTTTTACAATTCTTGCTTGTGAAAAATGTTCAAAACAAAGTATACTTTGACTTCCTAACTGTGCTCCATGTTGCTCTTGTCTCGTAAAATCCCCCCAAAAAACGAGCGACTCCAAACATCCCTTTTTTGAGTTTTGCCTCATCATGTTTCACAGCTTTTGCCAGCTTGCACTTAAGTCTGCCTTGTCATATTAAGCTGCTGGCGGTTCAGAAACATGACACAGCGTTCACACTTCCTGTTTGACTCAGCGGCCACGACACCAGGACAGTATAAAAGAGGCGGTAGGGAAACGAGAGGCCAGAATGGAGCCTTCGCAAAGAAGAGACAACTTCCGCTTATACAGGCAGGACTACAGATCACCAAACGTAAGTACAATCTGTTCGACGGACTACCGTTCCTTTAACGGTGCTTTGAACAAGCGCCGTAAAGAGTTTAATGTCGTCTGCGTAGATGGAGACCCTGAGAAGCGCAAGGAAAGGCGACTTGGGTGAAGCCGGCAGGTATGAATCTTTTGAGTTGATCCTTTGACGAGATTTTAAAAAATGTGGTTTTTCCAGATGTGTAGTGAAAAGAATATTTTGTTTTGTTTTTGTTTTCAGTGATTTATCCGAGCAAATCAAACTCGCCACTAAGGAAAACCACGTCAGAGCTGAAAACACAGAGCTGATGCTCAGCTACCAGAAGGGCCAGATTACTCTGAAACAATACAAGGTATGGCGATGATACTCAACGTACCTTCTTTTATTCATTTCCTCCCCACATCATCTTTAAAAAGTGCGTGTCCCTCCTCTAATGTACCACGCTAGGTCCTGATGTTTTCCCTCTACGAGATCTACAAAGCTCTAGAGGAAGAGCTGGACAGGAATTCCTCCCATCCCGCCGTGGCTCCCATTTACTTCCCTCAGGAGCTGGCTCGCTTGGAATCGCTGGAACGAGATCTGGAGTATTTTTTTGGCCACGACTGGGAGAAGAGAGTGATTGTCCCCGCAGCGACGCAAAGATACAAACAGAGGCTGAGAAAGGTGGGCGAAAATGTTCTGTGGTCAGTGGCGGTTCAAACTTGTTGAGGATGTTTAGGAGGCGCCAGAGTTTCACTGATACCATGAAGTTTTTGTAAAGCTCACAAAACTTAAAAATGAACATTAGCATTGTTGACAAAATATCGAAAAAAGCTTTGGACACATTTGTAATGGAATCGCAGCTACAGTCCACAACCATGAGTATTCATGGGGTGAATGATGAAACTTTTTCTTCTTTTTGATTGGTGGCCAAGTCAGCAAACTGGTTTTCCAAAATCGAAATGTGCTACTAGCTAACTAAAACAACCGACTTGTGCACCATGATGAGTCATGGTTGCTTTGTTGCCCACTTTACAAATAAACAAAAAAAAGTTAAAGAAATCTTTTATGTTTTGATTTTGCAATGTGGAGCCCCCTAATCTGTGCCGCCCCTTGCATAGAACCACATCAACCAATACTAAGAAGAAAAAAGCCCCACTATTCTCTGCATTCTCAACACAAGCACTTCTTTGGGTCATTTTTCAGATCGGTCAGGAGAACCCTGAGCTGCTCGTCGCCCACGCCTACACCCGCTACCTCGGCGACCTGTCGGGGGGTCAGGTGTTGGGGAAAATCACCCAGAAATCTCTGGGGCTGAGCAGCAAAGAGGGACTGTCGTTCTTCTCCTTCCCTGGCGTGAGCAGCCCCAACCGCTTCAAGCAGCTGTACAGGAGCCGCATGAACAGCGTGGAGCTGACCGAGGGGGAGAAGGCGGCCGTGCTGGAGGAGGCGGTGGAAGCTTTCGAGCTGAACATCCAGGTGAGGGAACAAGATTCCGGGTCGAAGGTCAGTGACCGCCCGGCGCGAGCGCAGCCAGCTCCTTTGGCGACAGCCGAAACAGGAACTGAAACCGTGTGTTCGCAGCGCAAGCATGCTGAAACTTGGTGATTTGACCAAAACACGTTGTCCTTTTTCTCCTCCCCATTAGGTTTTTGATGACTTGCAGAAAATGCTGAGCATCGCCACAGAAACGGACCAATCAGGAAGTGGCGTGGGAGCTGCCGGGTTCACGGCGTCTCCCGTCCTGCAGCTCACAGTGGGACTGTGTGTTGCCCTGGCAACCGTTGGGGCTGCAGTGTATGGGGTGTAGAAATGTGGATTTTATAATCAGCATGCAGATCGAGCACTTTACACACTAAATCAGGGGTTCCCAAAGTGTGGCTCGGGGGCCACTTTTGACTCTTAAAGTGATTTTGTTTGGGCCTTGACCATAAGTCAAAAGATTTGACCCCCACAAATATGGATGTTTTTTTTCTCTCTTTTATTAAGGCCCTTTTTATGTTAAAGATATTCTGATTTCATACAAATTGTTAAGCAGGAAAAAAATAACAATTACACAAACATTTTTTTCAGTTTTAATGTATTTTGTCACCCCTCTGGTAGTTTAGCCATTTTTGTTTTCCTCTTGACAAAACGTTTGGTGGAAACTGCACTAAATAATTAATATGGAAGTCTTTAGTTGACTTGCACAGAAGAAACAGAAACTTCTCTCCCTGTACAATATACTTTACAAAGGTTAAATTTTAAATTTGTCTTCTTGTAAACAAACTTCAATGTCTTTTTTTTATGGGGATTTAATGTAGTTAATCAACAAAGGAGTGTATAACTGTGAAATGTAATAAGGAATGATGTATGGTTTTGAAATTATTTTGAAATAAAAATAAAAAAATAAATAAAATGGTGCTCCGAACACTTTTTACTGCACCGATTGTCCGAAACTACCAACACTAATTGGCTGGATCTCCCTCATTATTGGGAATGAATATTTTTGCACTTATTTTACGCTATGTATTTTTTATTCGTCATTATGTTGCACAAATGTTTATTTTTTTAAATAATAATTTTCAAAGCAATTTAAAAAAACCAATGGGTTGAGTTCTATTGACAGACAGTAAAATCCAATTGAATTCAGTGACGTTTCTGGTTCAGTGTGAAATTCTCACAGGAAGAAGTTTCTATGGAAATCCATGTCGACTCACAATTCGACAATTTCCCAAAAAACAAACAAATCGGCGCCGTTGGATCGTGTGCGTACGACTTTTTATTTATTTAAACAGAATCTTCATCTCAACAGCGACGCCTTTAATCCATTATCTCGGTTCTAAATTGTGCTAAATGTTATTTTCAGAATCACCCAAAAACAACGCAGGACGCAAACTATTTACATGAACAAACAGAGCGGAGGCTCCTCTACTTGACCCGGTAGAGGACCTTCCTCTGCATGCGGTGCTGCAGCTCGCCCCTCCTCAGCATCAGGTGGAGGACCTTATAGATGGCGTGCTCCGGATACTTCTGCAAACGCGAGAGAAAAGAATGAGCGTTGGGGGATTTGGAAAAGACAAAAATACATTCTCATTAAAAGTTGGAGTTTACTCAAATCCTACTGCAGTGAATCAAATGATCCGTTGACTAGGAATGCACCGATTTGAAAACTTGGGCCGATACTGATGTTATGGCCAATAACCGATATTTACAACGTATTGGGGGAGAGGGGATAGAGAGAAAGAAAAATGATTGCTCTGCTGACTTCAATCCTTCTCTTAAACTCCCCACAATCCTTTGCTGCATCAATAATATGTCGCATGATCAAATGCCACATGACCAGCCGTCCTTCCCCATCCAGAAACAAACAGGATCAAGATGATGATAAATATCGCTTGTCAATACTGGCCTAGTGTTTTTTATTTGGACCGACATGTTAAAAAGTGACAAAAAATTTTATTAATAATAATAAAAAAATAATAATCAGCCGATGTTGGTGTCAATTACATTTCTAAAGTTTATAAAAACAAAACTGAATATTGTTTTGTGAATTTTTGTCATTTAACAGCTTTGTTGTTCAAAAATGACTAATGTCAGTCGATGACGATGTTAAGAGCCGACCCATCGTGCATCTCAACTTTCCCATGATTTTGCTGGTGGCGAGTGGTGAACGGCGTTAATGCGTTCTGGACTCCTGCTGACCTGCTTGGTGAAGTCCTGGACGATGCTGTGCTCGGACACCTGGGAGCCGATGGCGAAGCGTCTCTTGAGCTGCTTCTCGACGCGGGACAGCATTTCCTGGTCTTCCTGCGAGGTGAATCCCTCCACTCCTGTTTCAACATCAAGAAAACGTTTTAAACAATTGATCAAGGGGAAGAGCAACGGCCGAATGGCGTCAACGTCCGGCTCTGTCGGCCTCACCGGAGAGGCTGCCGGACAGCGCCGCGTCCAGCGTGGACACCTGGAAGAGCCTCAGGGCTTCATCCACTTCTTCTTCTCCTGCCACGGCCTGCAGCTTCATCTTGGCCAGAGACTCGGCGATGCGGACGATGGCCTCCAGCTGCCTGTTGGGCAAAACAATCGGGAGAATGTCATCTCAAGTTCTAAAAAAAAAATGCGCGACACTATAAAGGTCACGCACCTGACGGTGATGGGGATGGAGGGCCGCTTGTTCGACTCCCTCTCGTGGTCCCTCGCGCCGCTCCTCATCACCACGTATCGGTTTTTCAGCTTCTCCGCAGCCGCCGCCGACAGCCGAGGGCCGCATTTACTGCCAAACACACGCAGACACCAACGGTTTACGTTCTGCCTGTGGCGGCGAGGGGCGACTCACTCGGACAGACGGGTTGCGGGGCAGCGCTCACGTTCTGGCGTAGGCGATGTACTTCTTGAACGTGGCGAGAGGAATCTCGCCCTCCACGGCTTCCGTCTGCGTCTGCGCGCTCAGGTGGACGTTCATGACGTGGCGAGCCAGAGTCTGCAGTCAGAGTCAGAGTGAGACGGATGAATTTGCTGAACAGAATCACACCAATTTTGTTTTTGCAATATGACCAGGTGTTTTTTGTTGTTGTTTTTTTTGGGTTGGCCATATCAAAACACATTAACGTCGCAAATCTTTTTTCACACAAGTCTGGAACCGGATGTTACTACTGGAGGAAATGACAAAAAAGATGACAGGAAGATGATGGATTTTTAATGACTTATTGCATCAGCAAACTTATTCACATTTTAATTGCGTTTCTTATTTAACGAAAACAAAATTGCAAAATTGTGTGTGTGGGGGGGATTTCCCACATTAGCGGGATATCAGACATTTGTAATGGAAACTCAGCTCCTCGAAACGAGAATTTGGAAAAATTGGAATCGGACCATCAGGCATTTTTAAAGATCGGTGATCGGCTAGAAAATTGCAATTATTGTGCCACAACAAAGCACTGCAGCAACTTCCTGAATACCTAAAACGGCACAGTGTCGGTGGCGCTCACCATGTCCCTCTGCTGGTCGTGCTGGTCCTTGATGATGAAGATCATGTCGAAGCGGGACAGGATGGTGGGCATGAAGTCGATGTTGTCCTCGCCCTTCGTGTCGTCCCAGCGACCGAACACGGAGTTGGCGGCGGCGAGCACCGAGCAGCGCGAGTTCAGGGTGGTGGTGATGCCGGCCTGGGAGGAGCACAGATGTCAGGTTACCACGGCAACCCTCTCAGCGGCGGTTTTGTACTGCAGCCGGTGGTCTCTGATAAACACCTTAGCGATGGAGATGGTCTGCTGCTCCATGGCCTCGTGGATCGCCACCCGGTCGTCTTCTCTCATCTGGGAGACAGAAACACAACTTTCAATCTTCCTGAACGCCGGAGGTCACGAAAATGACTTCCTGGAAATATGATCTGCAGTCGGGGGATGAATTTGCTGGCTGACCCTCAATGTGACATGAGACTTTTTCCACAAACACTTTAGCGCAATATGAAACAGGTATAAATAAAAAGAAAAGAAAAAAAGAAAAACCCACAGCTTATTTAGATTAAGCACCAATAATATTTACTTATCAAAAAAACATGTCAAGTCTATGGATGAGGATCACCAGAAGAAGAAGAAAACAAAGAATTCCGACTTTAATCTGAGATCAAATCAATTGTTATGTTGCACTCAAACGTCCACTAGACTTAATTTTATTCAGCGAAACCTTCACTAAGTCAGCTGACCATCAAATATCTCAATTTAAAAAAAAGTTTGAGAAACAAAGTAAGTTTCTCATTTTGCTCCACTCTGGTTCAAAACATAAGAACCGCACCAGAACTCGGTTCCCTGCTTACCTTGTCGAACTCGTCGATGCAGACGACTCCTCCGTCGGCCAGCACCATGGCGCCGCCCTCCATGATGAATCCTCGGGTGGCGGGGTCCCTCAGCACGGAGGCCGTCAGCCCGGCGGCGCTGCTGCCCTTCCCGGACGTGTAAACCTGCGGGGGCCACAGAGACGCAGAGGCTTAAGTCTGGTGCTGCTCCGCCTTCCCTGTGGCGGCGCGGCGGAGACGACGGCTACCCCGATCGGCGCGCATCTCTCCACGAACTTCAGCAGCTGTGACTTGGCCGTGCCGGGGTCTCCCAGCATCAGCAGGTTGATGTCTCCCCTGCGGGTCAGGCCGTCGGGCAGCCTGGAGGAGACGACACCGAGACGGTTAAACGCTTAAAGAAGCTGGACCCCGAGGCAAAGTGGGGAGGCCGGGTCCAGCTTCCCACCTCTTCCTGGAGCCGCCGAACAGCAGGCAGGTGATGGCCTTCTTCAGGTCGTCGCTGCCATAGATGGACGGAGCCACGGAGCTCGCCAGGGAGCCGTAGATGCCGGGAGAGGCGGCGAGCGACCGGAGCTGCTCCTCCTCCTGTGGAGACACCGAGCCGGTGCTGCCGCGGCCTGGAGCGGGCAGAGAGGGAGACAAAAATAAAGTAAGACCCGATTACTGAGGGAACCCAAAATAAATAAATAAATAAAAAAGATGTCATGGTATGCAGAAATTCATCCAAAGATTTTCAATCGTTTTGTAAATCAGAGGGTGCACCGATTCCGATTGTGGTCAATGCCAATTTTTATTTTTTTGGCAACGTTGCGAAGTTGGCAGTAGTTGGAGGGATAAGGATGGAGAGCGCCGCAACTGGGATGCAAAGGGAACAGTGGACGATTTCAAAACCTTTGCAGTGGTCGATAAAATCGGTTTCTCGCCAAAAAGTCAGCTGATCGCCAATCTCCCAAACATTAATTAAATCTGGGCCGATTTATTCCATTTACTGCGATACTCAGGCTAACTTATGAGGCTTTAGGAATAATAAACCTGGTCGCCTGTTGATTCGGGAGTTTGGAAGCTGCAGGCAGAAAAGTTTGGGAATAAAACGCGTGTAGCCGGTGGTTGGCGTGGCGATGTACTCGCCTGCTCCCTCCGTGTCAATCTGAATGCCGACCACTCGCAGGTAGGACGAGCGAATCCCCACGCCGACGCCCTTCTCTCTGCCTGCTTTCTTGGCGGCGGCCACCTTCTTGATGGAGTAGATCCCCATGATGGTCACCCTGTTGCCGGGCACCACGCGGTCGCACAGATACCTGGGAGGAATCGAGGAGAGAAAAATAAAGACGAAAAAACATCGACGTCTGTGTCTGCGGGACACGTGGGAAAGCTGCTGGCGCCCCCTACCGGTCGCAGTAGAGCTGCATGTGACGGGGCATCTCCCCGTGCGGCACGGCGTCCGGCGACTCCTGCAGGCGCAGCGTCTGGAAGTCCACGCAGACGCAGCGGTCCGGGATGATGAAGTACGGGTCCACGGGGCACTTCACCCTGCCGGCGTTCTCACTGAGCATCGACAGAAAGAGAGAGACGTTTAGAGACGCTTAGCGCAAGGCGCAGCTGGAAGCCGTCTCTGTCTTTCTCTCTCTCGCCCCCAACCCTGAGCTCACCTGTTGCACTTGCGCGGCAGAGCGTAGCCCTGCAGGCCCGGCGGCAGCGGGATGTTGGGCAGGACGCCGCGGCAGCCGCGGCACTGCAGGCACACCTTGGTGGCCTTCGCCTTGACTGCCGTGGCCGAGATGACGATGCCGTGCACCTTCACCAGGCGGGACACCTGCTCCGACTGACACGGGAGGATTTCATGATTCAAGCGGCGGCACTCACTCTGCGTTTACTTG